AAGGAGAAAAATATACACAATGTAGGCGATAATAATTGCCCACAGTAATAGAAAACGGCCAGCGTTCCGGAATACTTGAATGTAACATTATTAATTAGTGGTAATAAAAAAAATTAAATTAAATTAAATTAAATTAAATTCATATAAATATAAAAAAAAGAATAAACATTATTTTTCGGCGTCAGAAACATTCCCGGAAGTGACAGGATTAACGTCAGTAGCACCCCAAACCCTAATCGTTTTATCAAAACCGCACGAAATCAATAGATCACGCTCCACATCAAACCATAAACTTTTTACTATCGACGTATGACCTTCTAGTCTCGCGATAATCTTTGCCGTTGCCACATCAAATATACAAATATCACCTTTCGCGTCGTCAGTCACATAGAAATATTTACCACTCGGATGCCAACAATGACGCGGCGTAGAAAATTTATTGACTTGTGCGCCATAAAAATTTCGTATTTGAACGTCTGAATTGGTGAGAAAGAGAATTAGGCGACCTGATTCGTCGTCTGTTGACACTAGCAAGTATTTTCCATTGTTGTGCGGGGATGGAGAGATGTCCATTGGTGTGAAAGAAACCCGTTCGTCACCATTCTCATTCATACTGTATTTTGTATCTTGAAAATTCACAAGGTCAATGTAATGAAGATAATTATCTTCGCGTACTCCAATCACCAAAGATTCATTATTTGGTAGAAAACAAAATGCTTCGACATTTCCAGTGAGTTTCATTGAATGAACCTTAACATATTTAATGTCAATCTGATTAAACGTTGGACTTCGAGGACTTGCAGGAGATTTTGGAGTATCTGGAACTGCCGACGGAATCATTTTATAGAAATTGACCGTGTGATCATAAGCGGTGGCAAACATTAATCCGTCAGGTGAGAATCGAGCATGTACTACATATTTCGAATCCTCTTTAAAAGTCTGAATAGTCTCATTCGTGTGAACATTCACCAACACCGTAGAATCCATCGAACTACTCAGCATCAACGTAGGATAATCAGGATGAAAGTCAACGCATAATACGGGAGATTTATGAATTTGTAAAGTATTAAAAGTGTCCCTCGTCAATAATGATGTAAATTTTATACATTTGTCCGCTGATCCTGAGACAATCGCGGTGACATCCGAATAAGCGTATTCATTTTCACCTTCGAGGAAATTTGTGACTGGAAGATTTTGAGTGCGTACCGAAAGGATGCTTGAATCATGAATCTGATTAAATGTGTCATACAAGAAACGCGGAATATTTTCATCGCCTGGATGATTCAGTTCTTCCTCGATTTGTCTTTGTTTATGTGTAAGAGATTAAATTTTTGGGAATTAGAGTCGATCAAACCATTTTTTTTTAATGCAAGTTGAAAATTATTACCGTTGCAAACTGAGTTTTCCTAATTCATCGGTCATACTAGAAATTAAATGTTCATCAACAAGATCAATCAAATTTTTTCCCGGTGGTTGACTAAATATCTCGTTGTTCTCTATAATGACTTCTGATGCTTCTTCCCGAAAAGCATTCAAAGATTTATGAAATTTGTTTAATTCCAAAAATTGAAGAACTAGCGAGTGAGCAAGTGGAAAAGCTTTTGACGGCATTATGAAGTTTTTTCAAGGATAAAGTTGATGATTTAGTTTTTTTATGTGGTTTATGGTTTTGTATAGGGATTATTTTTAGGGGCTAGTGCACGTCTATTAGAAAGGGAAGGGGAGAGTGAGGGTGTGGGAAAGTTAAGTTCAACTTCTTGTAAATATAAGAAAAACATTGTTGAAAGATCTTCATATGATCTACAGCAACGATATCGGTATATTGTGTTGTTATCTTAAATTACATTTGATCATCTTTTTCGAAGAAAAAATCATAATACAATAGATAAGACAACAACGCGAAAGTCTATCATATTGTCTTCTTAATAATAGGATTAATAATAGGATTAATAGAAGAGAAACCGTCACGTACACACAAGGAGACTAAGAATTCTATATTATGTCTATTTCTTACTTGAATTCCTTTTTTATCTCCGTGAAACCTTCATGTAGAGCCAAAAATTCTGGTTATTATCGTAATATTTCGGTTTTTGGAAATTTAAAGGGCAACATGATATCAACGAGAACTTTAATTGATGCTAGTGAAAGTGTAAAATCCATGTCAACCCTCGTTTCAAATAAATATATTGTTCCTCCTCCCTTTTTTTCCCCAGTTCGCGCTTCCCGCTATCCTAACCTACATTGTACGACACAACGTGGCGTATATGTGACACAAACACCACATGCTGAATACTTTAAAAATAATACCACCGGGAATATCTTATTGTCCATCACACGTTTAACAAGTCAAACACGACGACATTACCTGAATAATAATGGACTCATCAAAAAGCTAACATGGCCGAAACAAAGAAAAGTAACAAACCCAAAATTGATCATCGGAGGAATTATTTTAATTAACACCGCAGTATTTTGTGCTTGGAAATACGCCACGTTTCTTGGTCAACATTATCATGATTGGTGGCTTTATTCTTTTATGACAAAAAATCTGTTAATGGGTGTTGATAATGTAAAAGCGGGAAGATGGTGGACGATGATCACTGCAAATTTTAGTCATTCTAATCCATGGCATCTTGTCCTGAATTGCTTTGTCCTTTGGAGCTTTGGACCACCAGTAAGTAAATCTGATTTGTATCTAGCAGCATATACCCAATTAATGATCGTTTGTATCTAATGAATATTTTGTCATGTTATTACAGATTTTGGGTTATATTGGAGTAAATCAATTTCTATTGGTTTACCTTGCTTCTGGATTCAGTGGCTCTTTGGCACACTTATTCTATCATTATGTGATTAAACCAAGAACAATCGATCGACGTTTTTCGCCCGTGATTCATAGTCAAGGCGCTTCAGGTATGATAATGAATACACACTTCGCAAGTATATATGATCTCTAAATAATTTTATCATCTTTTCTTGAATAGCCTGTATAATGGGAATCACCACAATCTTTGCACTAAGAAATCCATTTGAAACTGTCATCCTATTCATCATACCGATGCCTGCCATATTAGCAGTTGGATTATTTGCAGCCTATGATATTTACAATTCATGGAATCCTGGGAGAAATTTAATTGATTCATCTGCACATTTGGGTGGTGCATTGTTTGGGGCACTTTATTATTGGACGAGATTACGACCGAGAAAAACACGAGTTATTCGCGCCGGTCGATTCAAGATATAATTTAATTTATATTTACTTGTCGGACCTTAGTTTTGAAGGTTATGGCATACGACAATATACGTAATCTCTAATCCATGAAGTGTTTTATGGTAATTTAATAGTTATATTGCATCTTGTTGTCATCGCTCCTCATATTAAAAGCATTTTAGATTCAAGTAAAATTCAACTCAAGCTCGAAACGTAACCACACAGTTAAAAGATACATCACTTACAATCACTCAGCCAGTAATAAAAGAATGCATAAAACTTTTAATCATTATATTTTACAAAAATCTGACAAAGTTCACGGTGATACTAATGACAATAATGAGAAAAATACACGAAACTTACCTTTTCTTCTCACTGACACTCCCATCTTCATTCCCAAAATACACAACATCCGCTACATCAACGAACAACCCAACTTCCACCACACCAGTCAACAGTTTAATTTTCCGCAATAGCTCTCCCGGAGAATTCACCAGTCCAAAATGAGCGTCAATCAAAAAATTTCCATTATCTGTGATTACGGGTCCAGCTTTTGCATTTGCCATACGTAGCGTAGGATTCTCACAACCAAGGTCTTTTAATTCTTTAATGACGCGCGTGTAGGTAAATGGAACCACTTCGATTGGAATCCCTTGTTTCCACTATCACCATCATCATCGTATAGAGGTAACGCGATTATTTGTGAGGAAGGATACGCGTGAAAGAACTTGTTGACAGCTGTTTTATAAAATAAATATACCTTTTCACCCAGTGTCTTTGCATTTTTTCGATAATCAGCGATAATAATAAATTTTTTTGCTGCTTCTGCAACAACTTTCTCACGTAAATGACATCCACCACCGCCTTTAATCGCATTCAGATTTTCGTCTACCTTATAAAGTTGATCAATTGAAAAACCGTATATGACAGGTAGTAAGTCGACACGCCCATTAAACTTATATTACCTCGTCTGCGCCGTCAATTGTCACGTCAAGTTCAGGATATCTTTATTAATCGAAAAATCAAATTAGGTGAAAATTAAACGGCGAATGTGACGCGTTTTTTTCTCATACTTACTGGTCAACATCGCCCAACGTCAACCCATTATCAACAATTAACTGTCTACTCTGAAAGCTTGTTGGAATAAAAACAATCCTTGCGTTCGCCTCTTTCCCACGTTGCAGTAACCGCTCTACCACGTACCCTATTGTCGAGCCCGAACCAATGCCAACAAGTCTTACATGGTAGGTAATGTGTTGGTCAACTGCTCTGTACGCGGCTCTGCGTTTAGCTTCTTCTATTAGGGAAGACATTGCGGTGGTGGAGTATAGAAACGGTTTTGATGCTCTGTATTTAAAAAAAGAAATGATGCGATTAGATAACATTTTAATTGACTGATTTATTTTTTGAATTAGCATGTGAAACTATAATAGTCGACAATGACTTGCCTTTTCCTGTGATCAATCATATCAGGTTAATAATTATAATAATTAATATATAATAAGAGATATTTATTTCTTTATAATAAATAATACTTTGAATTTACTTGAAATTTATATTAATAAATATTTATAAATATATAACATTTAGCAAGTTATAAAATATCAAGAACTAATTATATAAGAAATAATAATAGAAATAATTAATAAAAAAATGAATAAGCAATGAAAAAATAATAAAAATTATGAATAAAAATTATGAAAGAAAATAATACTAATATAATAATAATAATTATTATTATTATTCTTATTATTATTTTTTAAATATTTTTTATAATTTATTTTTTTAAAATTTTATAAAAAAGTTAATTATTTTATTTAAAAAATTATTAATTTGAATTATTCTTATATATTTTTTAATTTAAATTTTATTTTATTTATATATTTTAGTTTTTAAAATAAATATAAATATTTTTTATTATATTTTAATTTTTAAATATTATTCTTATTATTTAAAATTATTAATATTACTATTATTTAAAATTACTAATATTATTTTAAAATTTTATATAAATTTTTAAAAAAATTCAAAAATTTATATAAATTATTATTAAAATAATAATTTTTGATTTTTTTCTTATTAATATTTATTAAATTTAAAGTTTATATAGATTTTTAAATTTAAAAATTTATATAAAATTATATTTTTTAATATAATAATTTTATATTAAAAATATTAATATAATTTAAAATTTTATAAATTATATTTAAATTTATTATTTATTACTAATAAAAACTTAATTTATCTATATATAAATATTTATATTCTTATAAATAATTATTTTTAATAATAAAAACATATAAATATAATATTTTTATATAAGTATATTAATATATTTAAATATAAATCTTATTTTTTATTTAATTTTAAATTTTATTTATATTTATTTTCTTATTGTATATATTTAAACTAATTTTTTTAATATTAAAATAAATTTATTATATTTTTTAATAATAATTTAATTATTATTAAAATTTATTTATTTTATTATTATAAATTATTATATAACTTATATAAATTTCTTTATTAATTTATAAAAACTTAATAATTAATATAAAAATAATAATAAAATATATTAAAAACTTGAAATTTTACAGATTAATAATTATATAATTTATATATTAAAGCTTAATAATTAATATAAAAATATTAGAAAAATAAATATTAAATAATTATAAATTATTAATTATTATATACTTAAAACTTTTATATATGATTAAATCTTTTATAATTATTATACTTAAGAAAATAAAATTAAATAACTAAAAAGAGATATAAGTATAAAAAGATTT